CTGGTGCCCACTGGTTGCATCAGTTATGACAAATGGAAGCAGAACACAGGTGTGATTGTTTTATAACTACCCAAAAACTTTACGCCCACTTGGGCTTAAAGTTCCCATGCTGCTCTGTGCTTTAGTTTCCCCTTGTGTAAAATCAATCCGAATCACGGTTATCTACCTCATAAGGGGCTGAAAGGATGACTCACTACTTCTCTGTCATTTCATTTCTGCCGAAACAATGAAAAAGAGAGTAACTGTATGCAACAAAGAAAGGCACAACATTACCATAGCAGCAGTGTCCACGGCTGTTTCAGCCAGCTGTTCACAGAGACAACTGAAGGTACAGCAGCACAGACTCAGCACGGCCTGTACAAACCTGGTAGGGGCTCTAAGTACGAGCTTAGTTACTAGCCCGGATGATGCCACTACCTCTCCGCTTGCTACCATGCTGCACCGATGAGTGCGGTCATGCACGCTGGAGTCTGAGCCTAAGTGCATTTATGAGCTGGTAGTTTTACTCAGTCTATACGTCACTATACTGTAAATGCAGAGACTGGCAAGGTCGTAACTGTTTTGAACTTTTTATTTATGAGAGTTTTGTTGCTTATTTCAACAAAGGCACAAAACCCACAAAGCTCCTAGTAAACATTTAATTAAAGTTTAATTACTAGAAATATGTTAAACGTGCAAAATTTGCAGGTTCAGCCAAGGGAAAGAAGCCCGTAGCAACGTTTTTCACACAGACTATAAATCCTCTGTTTTAAAACTGATGCCTTCCCAGGAGAATTAAGAGACCGTTTTAAAATAGGTCTTGAAATTCAGAAGAGCAATAGCCTTTCACAAAGAATGAAGAAAAAACAGCCTAGCAAGGAGTCACTCCAACCTCACGTTTAAACTGAAGTGGAATGTGCGTGCGTGTGTGTGCACATGCACACACGCTCACACGTGCTCACTCTTCGGGACTTAACAGAAATGCATAGTTGTAACACAGTATTGCACACTGCATAAAAGTGACAGTTCCAGGTTGTTAGGCTTAGAACTAAAACTAGAAACAGTACCTCATCAGGTATGTTAAAGCTAGCCCAGCAATGGGAATTACAGTAGAAAACCTTCCTTTGCCTGTGTAAATGTGGCTCACAAGGGGTCTGTTTCTAGCCCATAACCCTCTTACAATCTGTATTATCACACAAGTCTAGGCATTTGGACCTGGATCACCTCTCACATGTATAAAAAAAGTGAATCCATTCAGTCTTCAGGAAAGGTCTGGGACAAGGAAATAAGCTTGTTAAAAGAATAAACATAGTTGTTTTGACAATATATTTATATCATCTACATTACCGTAATGGCAGGTTTCTAAAACACAAACACCAAAATCAGACACTAGACTGAAGTGTTCGGCCATTTCCCATTATTTGTATAATTGGTATCACAGGAAAGTTTGCAGGCTGAAATTATGATTGGCACTCTGTGCTGGGACCTGAGTATTTATACTGCAAGAAAGATCCCCAGCTGCATGCAAAGACAGACACAGCATATAAGGGAAACTACAAAAAAGAAATGGCTCGAGAGCCATTGAGCAGACTGGAACAGAACCCAGGTGTCCCGGTAGCCCGGTCCCTCCCCACTAGATCACACAACCGATCCCGAAACGTCCATCTTTGCTATGAAAAGCGCTGTTAAGGCTGGCTCAGTCCAAGCAAGGATATCAGCGCTGAAGCCATAATCTCCTGAGGCAGAGGCAAGAAATGACTCCAACTTGGCACTGCTGAGGCCTCACAATGCAAGAGTATGCCCCATAAAAGAACCCAGTGTTACCCACCTCCCGCCTTGCCACGCTGCATTCCCTGCTCTTCTCACGTCAATAATGCAAGCTACCCAGGGCTGAGGGGTGCGAGAGCTAAGCTGGAATCACACTGCACGCTGCGTTCCAGCGTTTTGGAGTACGACTGTCTGCAGAGAAACATTCCAGGTAGGACTAGAAATGATTCCTGCCTGCCGGAGAGTGACCTGCTGCAGCACAGGCTCCAGCAGAAGATGGGAACCGAACCCCCCAGGGCCTGAGAGATGCAGGAGCTAACAGCTCCTCTCCCACTTCTCAGGGCATTACAAGGCCAAATTCACCCACTGTAGCAGGACTTTGGGATTCCATGAGAGAGGCTCAACTTCAGTGTGATATCCCACACACACAAACCACGATGCTGCTCCTTCCCAGCTATGCTTCTGGCACTAGTCTCCCCTTGCAAACCTATTAGTAAGAACATACCAGGAACACTTCTCAATGCCTTGCAATGTTTTGGCTACAGGATATTTTAAGAGGGAGAAAATGATCTCTGTTGTGCTGAAAAAAGGAAAGAAAGACCCAAAACTTCCCCGCTGGCACATGGGATTTCATCTGGTAGCTGATGGCAACTGACAGAAATCATTAATGCAATGTCTCTGAAATTAAATTAAACATATGGACTGTAGCTGTCTAATTGAAAGAGTGAGGGCTGCGAAAATTGGGAAATATTACAAAACTAAATGACAGGTCACAGAACTCTCCAGCAACACAGCAGACTTGAAAACATAGTTCTGCTCTGAAAAAGACTTTGAAAAGACAGGAATTTGGGGCTGCAGGTTTATTTTTTTCTTAGTGATTCTAACCTGAAAACCAGTTTCTAACCAGTTGCCAATGTCACAGCCTCCTTGCATCTCAAAGCCACACTGGGTTACTTGTTAAGTTATCAACAACATTAAAAAGAGAAGTGATCACAGAGCAATCGGGTTGAACAAAATCAAATGACTGTGTACATGTCACAAGCTAATAATATATACAGACCCTCGCTCAGCTGGCTGCATCTTGACCACATCTCTGAGCCACTTGTTACCATTTCTCCTGATGGCCAAGCCAGAAGAAGAGCCAGCTCAACTTCCCCAGAAGCCTGTTGACTAATGGGCTAAGAAGCAAGGGTCATAACTACTTATAACCCACAACATCAGCTACTGTGGCTAGACAAACCAACTTCAGATGATCACTTTTTACAGTGGGACCACACTTAAAAAAAAAAAAAATTGTCTCATACTGGAATTAAATCATGAACTACAGCCACTACATCTCTACACAGCAGCAGAAAACGCTATTGCCAAGACCTACGTACTGGATTAGCCATGTACAATTACACAGTTGTCAACGCTGAGCGAAGTAGGCCATGTTTAGACTAGTTCCTAGCCTAACGTATGTAAAAAGATTGCAATAGATCCAGAAAACCAGCAGGCACCCTGCATTTGGAAGGAAAAATCTAAGCATTTACAATTCTACAGGCAAACCAGTGTTGTTGAGTCCAAGTCATCAGCTTCCCATGCTCTGTTTTCTCCACTTCCATATCCAACCACGTACACAATGCCCAGTTCTTTTGGATTCGGGTTAAAAAGGTCACTCGGTAGAACACATCTGTGAGTAAATGATTTGTAGGGAATTCCAAACACTTTGTGTGTCATGTTCCAGCTCAGTACATTTCCCAAGCCACTAATGAAACTTCACTGTGGACACTACAAAACTAGAAACAGTATGGAGGGCCAAAAACAAGTCTGGCATAACCCCAGTGGTATCAACAGAGTTGTCACACCCGGAATAAGTTTGGCTTGCATTTATGTTGGCTTCCATGAAGCATCTAATTAATCTTTCGTTAATATTTCGTTAGACACAAGTCCTACCAAGCTCCAGATATTCAAGGACTTCTTAACTTTCAATTAAAGGCAATATTCATCCAAAATGTGGGAAAAGTAAACATTATTTGCCCAACACAACCAGAAGCGTTCTGTGCTTTTCTGCCAGATACCCAAATAAGACATATGCTTGCTGATGCTGTGCCAGTCTGTAACAAGGGACCAGCTTGGGTGCTGAATGCCTTTTACTGCCTAGATGTTTTCATCAGCATTTCTACCTGATTTTAGGTAATTATTGTGCCATGAACAACCTTTCTCCTTGTCTCCTCTTAGCTTTTGCAACTCGTGAAACGCTGTTCTGGTCCACCAGTCACTTGGAATGGTCAACAGTCGTCACACTCCATTGCTGACCATTGTCCACTGGCAAAAGTGGGAGGCTCCAAAACCCGTCCCTCTGCGGACAGGCAAACAACGGGGCCCGTCGCTGCTTGGACATCAAAGTTAAACAAACAGTCCCAAGCCCCCGCCTCTATGCCCATCTTAAGGAGCTCCCCGAGGAGGTCGCGACTTTCAGCTTGTCATAGCACACATCAAAGTTTGCACCACACACGAACTCAGCACATGGATTCGAATCGTGTCGCCCGAGAGCGGATATTCAGCTTTTGTGCCTTGCTTTAATCCTGTGTTTTCCCAAGTAATTAGGCTTTTTTGCTTATGAACTTGTGACTAAGTAAAGCATCCCTGAGAGGTTGTAACATCAAAGCTCATTCTCCCGTCTGTCCCACGTTTTCCAAAATTGGATTTCTCTTTCTCTCTTTTTTCCTTAAATAAAAAACTAATTGAATTTAGTTGTAGACTGAATACATTTAAGAGTGCCTTTAAAAGGTTACAAGAAGCCACAGTGATCATCATGGGAACTAAGGAGGGAGGGCACAGCATTCAGCCTTTTTGGCTCATAAAGGCCTAGCACGAAAGGCCCAGCAACGGGCCCACAAGCTAGGAGGGACGAAGCAGCTCTTGCGGGAGCTATCTGAGACTCTGGCTGAGTTTCTGATGTTAGACTATCTGCCACAAAAACATCCCAACATTTGCAATCATCAGATTGCAAAATCTGAGTGCTACTATGGAATTGCATTGTCAATTCAACAATTACCTCTGAGACTGAAGAGTGCTGACGTCATTCTGTAGCACAATGTACTGGGCAAATGAAGAACGAATAGCTCCCTTGGGTTCAGCTAGAGAACACACCCCAAACTAGCCCAGATGCTATGGAAACTCTCTTTTGAGCTCAACATGACTTACCAAAAGGGGGTATCTATGAAGGCTCTTACCCACTATGGCGATAGTCAACTCGGAGACAAACATACCTGGAATTTCTGTTGATAGCTGCCACCATGAGAGCAGTCCAGCCAAGCTTGTGCCTCGCATTCACATCCGTGCCTTCTAGCAATAACCTAGACAGAAGATAGAGTGGTTCAGGAAGAAGGCAGACAGACAAGCATCCCAAGCAAACTGGGGCTAACAACACAATGCAGACACTTTTACTTCAAGGGCGTTTGCTCCCGTGCAGCCCAGAGGGCTCAATACTGAAAGCTGCTTCAATACAATTTCTCGTCAGCTACCAAAATTAAGTAGACTGGTAGGTGATAGCAAGCATTATCCTTTCAAACGGTCCAAAGCCAACTGGCTTGATTTCTTTTTGGATGCTAATTTAGCCTAGCACCCAAAGAACCAACCAGTAGTATGACAGAACAAAGTTAATCAACCTACAATCTGATAGCTTGTTCAAATCTGCAGGCTGCAGAGCAACCATCAAGAACTCAGGAGAAGCTCGGCGGATCTCCAAAGCCCAAGTCAACAGGAAACATTTTGTAGCCTTCTTGCATGAAAAGAGGACAAACAAAACAAACCTCGAAAATAAGAGGCATCAAACTACCCTTGCTGCTCTTTCTGCAAAGCTCTCTTAGCCTTTATATCATTCCCCTAATCCTTCCCTGGATTTTTTAGCGACTTCGCTCCTAACCTAGCTTCTACTGGCTTTTACTTTTTTTTATTCTTCAGATTCTAATGCACCAGAAGGCTACCCTACCCTTCCTGCATCCTCTCATCCGGTAGCAACAACACTATTATTCTTAGCACCGGCTTCTAAGTAGTACCCTTAAAAAGTGCTTTTTCTTAAGGACAAACTTACCAACCCTCTCTCTTTCACGGCCAACCATGAGATTCAATTAATCTCTTCTGGCCTTACCTGTCTGAACGTTAGGAGCCTAGTTTACCTTAGCTGTCTGTGCTCCCCCCCAGCTAATGGCAAGAGACAGATACCTGCAGAGGCTAATATAGCTCATTAAAAGAAGTGCCAAACCCACATGGCATGAAATCACGGTCTGGAAGTGCCACTCTCTCTGTTGACCACAAAGGAGGAGGGACTAGTTCAGATTCGATACCCAACTTCTAGAGTGCTCAAGTGAAATGAGATGAGATGAAGTCTGACCCCAAGACTCCATGCTCAAGTCCATCGCTGCAGTCCCATTACTGAAGCAATGTGCTGCAGGTATTAAGCCAGGACAACTGTGAGGCAGGCCTCAGAAGGCAGCGAGGGCTATGAAGGACTCGGCAGTTCTCTCCTTTTTGGCCTGTCCTTCTCCCTTTTCTCAGCTGAGGCCTTTCCAGTTTCCTTTCTGGGAAGGTCCGCTCCTCCTTCCTACAGTTGTAACACACAGGCACACAGCACATCCTTTCTATAGCTGTAAGAGGGAAAAGCTACCATCAAACTCAGTGCTGTGAGAAATGCAAGTAAAAACATAGGACAAACTTCACACATGTAAGCACCTGAATCTGTGGATTAAGTATTAAAATAAACTAGATTCACTGATAAGCAAGTCAGCTGCAGCTGTGGCAGTTCACATGCACTGAAAAGATCGGACCATTTCTTTAAGAGCTTAGGGAGTTACACGCCTGAATTTAGCCATGCTTTTCAAATCAATTGCCTTGAGTCTGCTGTGGGGTAACTATGTGAGACGGTTAACGGAGCGCTGGGCTACACTGAGTGAAGAGCAGCTAAAGGGACCGTATTCCTCCTCCTGCTGTCAGGATGAATATAAAGGAAAGCACGAACCTAGCAAACACCTACAGTTGTATGCCAGATCTACGCAAAGCTTCTGCCACCGGCTCAAGAATCCTCACAGTGGAGGAGCGTGTGGTCTCCCCAAACGCCTATCCCAAGGAACAAATACACCCTTCTGATTCCAAAGTTACTGCTACGCAGCCATACCAGTGCCTAAGCTTTGGCTCAAACTGCATGACCTGAATACAGTTTGCTGTTTGATATTTTCACGGTCTTTCAAAAACAGATCAATTGGGGCAGGACATCACACCTCAAGACACATCAAAACTCCACTTCCGGGGCGAGGCGCTGTGTGTTCAGAACCAAGGGAACGCGAGTCCCACGTGTCAAATACTGATGTAACACAGCAGGTGGATTGTATCAGAGTGGAAAAAACTCGCTGCCTAGTCAATTCTGTAGGATCTAAGCTTTATTTAATAACTACAAATTCAAAAGTAGTTTTGAGCCTCAAAAAACCACAAAACACTTTTTGAATACGGCAAACAGTCCTAGATAAGCCCAAGTTGCCTGCTACACAGGTTGCTGGTACTAGCTGGTTAGCCACCACCTGTAATGGCAGGTCCCTGCCGAGCAGCACTGCAAGTCCCATTCTGTGGGAAACCGGGCTAGGTTCCCCCCGCGCCCTTCACAGTCCCTGGAGAGAGATGCGGCGCCCCAGAGGGTGAGGCAGGTAAGAAAGCTGACCTGAGAAGTGCAAGTCTCTCCCTGCTGGCATGAGAAATTAGCCAGATAATTGTCAGCCACGCTAGGTGCCTAAAACTGGGCGCTGCGCATTCCCCTCCTGTGGTGGTAGCTTTATCCCGTTCGCCTGAGAGCTTGGGGGTAGCAGAGACAGCAGCGAGGCGACTTCAGCCACGCTCTGCGTAGGAGCAGGTCGGGCAACACTTCTGGCACTGCACAGGTCAATATGATTCAAATGGAGTAGGTGCAACATACAGGTCAGCTGGTACAGACGGGAAATTTGGACCATCTCTCTGTTGACAGGAAAGGTAGCCAGGGCTACCTCCAGATTTAAGTTCTCCTTACCAGGGTTTCAATTAAAAGTTTAATGATAATGAGCTATGTGGCAGGCAAGCAATAGACCCCGGTCCAAGAAGGCTCAATGCTTCATATCTACATTGTCAGCAGAGGAACAAACGTTCCTATAGAATCCTTACCAGATCCATGCTACTCTCGCTTGCCCCATCACTAACCGCAGACGGTTTTAGCTCCTGCATTGCCAAGCAGTCCTGCAAACGTCACTGCGAGGTGTTGCATATGACCAGCCTTGGCTCCCCCTGGAGAGAGCCCTTTGTGCTTTCTCCTTCTGCTCTGTTACCTGATCACTGAAAACAAATGACAAGACCGTGCTTCCAGCTCTGTTGCCTGAAGATTACTGTCAGACAGCAGGCTGCTTAAAGGAAAACCGTCCATGCGTATCCTCAAAGCTTCCCTGTCCCTGTAACAGATACGGTTCGGTCTCGACACACAAACGATGGCAGCCCGCACGCAGGGCAGATTGCTATCGCTAGCGACCAGCTCTCCTCGCAGCTCTGCACGCAGCCTGTGTTTACGCTCGCAACAGACAGACAAGCAAGTCTGACTCAGATCCACGGCCACTGCTGGTGGCAGCAATTGCGGGTGCTCGCGTGGAGGAGCGCTGCCTCCAGCAGAAATCCACACCGCCGCTCCGTCTGTGCCCTCGCGCCAACGGCTCCCTTTGCCCAGAAAGCTGCCGCTTCCCACAAAACGCTTGCATGCGGGCAGACGCATGCGGGCAGCAAGAGGTCAGGGAAAGCTATGTTGAGATCTTATTCTTGCTCATGCAATCCACCCCGGGTGCTCTGAAGAATTCGTTTAGGGCGATCGTGATGCCCAGTCACCTGCTACTGTTCTCTTGGGGCGTTAAGAAAGGTCACGTCCAAGTTACATCTGAGTTTTGTTTCATTTACTTTGGGTATTTGAAAGTACTTTGAATGCAGGAACTTTCATCTCATCTCCTTTCTACAGCGTGTCCGTCTGACAGTCTAGTAGCTACATCAAGTCCAGCGGATAAAAGAAAGGAAAATATTCCTGCAAAACACAAAAAGCCTCATAGGGGAACCCAGGAGAGAAACAGGGAAGCAAGACAGGAAATCTGTCCAGGACTTAAAGAATCAGCTAAGGAGGTATTCAGGTGACCATACCCCGAGGCTTGTAACTTCTGCCTGATAGTTAAAACCTCACCGTCCAATACCTACCATTTACGAATATCTTTGGCCGGGGGCAGCATTCAACTCAACTCATGAATTATTAGCCCCATTTGCATTCACTCACTTGACCACGGTATTAACACAATTTAACTAACGAGCCCCGAACAGAACTTCTCAGTTGCCTTCCCCGAGTCGCTGGGCTGCTCCGCTACAAAAGCCTGCTTTTGCTTTCATATGTTGTCCATTTTAATCTTTGCTCTCTCATGAATTTGAATTGCAGCTAAACACTTTGCCGTATGCATCTCCTACGAATATGCTCTGGAAGTGCATATTCAACAATGACTTATCTCCATTCTTAGATAAAAAAAATTATGAAATATGATCTTAGTCCCGCAGTCAAACCTGTTAAAACCTAGTACATCCAACAGGAAGGATGCTGGAGTCTCTGCTGCAGGATTTGATTACAGGCTCAGAGCTAAGATATTAATCAAGTAATTTTCCATTCAGGAATCTAAATAATCGTAAGCATCTGGAATGCCACATGACCAAGCCTAGTGGAGAGACTTACTAGCATCAGATCATGCAGCTTAATATGCATTGACATTTCATTTAGGAGTAGGATTTTTTTTTTTAAATCATTGCAAGACGCTCCGCAACTTAACAGATTTTCTAGACAACTGAACTTTATGTTCAAGGTCTTCAAGCCTATCATTAATTTTTTCCCCATCTGATTTAATGATATGACAATCAATAAAGTGACGACCACCGCTCAGATCCTAGACAGCCAAATGTATTTACCAGCAAGAGTATTTTTTTTTAATTAAATAAAATCCTCTGATCAATGTTTAGGATGTTTATCCACCTTTTAACCAAATAAGATCCAGGACACTCACGCTAACCTACTAAGCAGCTTCTCACGCAGACTTAGTTCCGCTGGCACCATTTTCAGTGTTCCTCAAAAGACAAACTTGTCCTCAGCTGCAACAGGTAGCACAAAGACTCACTCACTGAAAGAACAGCGGTGGAAGGAAAACACGGTTCTGCTGAAGAGTAGGGAATTTTTTCTGCTGTCTGTTTGTGTGTGAGCATATCGTAAGGATTTCAAAAAACCTCAAGGTTTTAGGACAGAAAGCTCCAAATAGACTGGATATGCTGTGGG